CCCATCACCACAGCCCTTTACATGAGGATAGGTCCTCCCTATTTGTCTTGAAATCACCTATAACCTGAGTTGATAATGGCTGAAACTGGGTGAAGGGTTCTGGGAATTCATTATACTGTCCTCTTTTCTTTGTGTGTGTTTGAAATTTCCTATAATAAAAAGTTAAAGAAACATACACCTTACAGCTATATTGCACCCTTTCCATATTTGCTCATGAAAAGACCACAGCTCAGGCTCTGGGGTCGCCTGGTCCACCTTTGAAACCCAGCTCCGCCGTGCAAGGCTGCATGACTGTGGGAGAGCTGGCTACTGTCTCTGTCCTTCTGTGTCCTCATTGGTAAAATAGGGATAACGGAGGCATCCAAACCATGGGTTGTTGTGAGAATTAAATGAGGCGATGCATGTCTGCTATTGCCTGAGCAAGTGCTCAATAAAAGTTAGCTATTGCTTCAGAATTTAGGTTAGAGTAAAGGGTTCCTATCCTATGTGGTGAGGGTTTGCATGCAAGTATAGATCAGAAAGTCAGAAATGCAGGAATTTATTTCCCTGTCTCAAGAAAGGCAGTGTGTGTAGTAAAAAGAGCAGTAGTCTAAAGGTTAGTCCCAGAAATGTACCTTCTTGCTTCATAGCTCTGTCCAAGTCATGTCACCTCTGCATTAAGCCTCCTATAGGAGGGATTTGATTTCTGACTCAATATTTGTTATTCAACTCTCTCTTCCATTATTTCATCTCTATTCCACATGAAGAAAAAAATACTTTGTTTGAAAATCAATTACATGGAATTATTGGAAAAAACTATAAGATGGTGCCTAAAAGCATGAAACCGATGCTTTAGGACCCATGGTCACAGGTTCTGGGTCCAAATCCTGACTTTGTCACTTACTAGCTAGATGATTTTGGACGAGTTAATTAACATTGCTTATTTTGGTTTTTTCATCTATAAAAAGGATGTTTGCAAAGATTAAATGAGACGGTAATGTGCTTGGAATAGTGCTCAGCCAATAAAAAGCCCTCAATAAATAATTGCTATTTAAAAAATATACTTCTACCATTGATGCTAATAAATGATAATAACAGTCATTAGATCCATTTGTGTATTCATCAAACAATTGCTGAGTGTCCACTGTGTGCCAGGTATGATTCTAGGATACAGCAGTGAACAACCTACATACAGTCCCTTCACTCGTAGACAATAAACAAGTCAATAGATGCATCACAGATATCAGGCGGTAACAAGTGCTGTGAAGACACAATAAAGCAGAATAAGCAGGGTGGAGGGTGTCTGGGATTTGGGGTGAGGTGGGGGAGGAGGCTGCTCTGGGAACCCTCTCTGATAAGGTGGTATTTGAGCAGAAGTACTAGGAGGCCCTGTGGCTGTCTGGGGGAGACCTTCCCAGATAAAGGAAACAGTAAGAGCAGGTGCAGTGGCCCAGAGGAGGAAATGCATGTATCTAACTGTACAGAGGGCTGGTGTGGCTAGAAGGGAGTGAGTGAGGGGCTGTGCTGAAGATGAGGGTAGTGGGAGGCCAGATCCCGGGGGTCTGATTGGCCATGGGAAGTTTTGAATTTTGCTATCAATGAGGGAAGAAGCCATAGGGTAGTTTCATGCAAGACATGATCCAACTTGAGATAGAGAAGATTTCATCTGGTGGTTATATGAATAATAGATTGCAGGGGGAAGAGGGTGGGAAGGGAAGCTTTTGCTGTGGTCCTGGCTAAGCAAGATGGTGGTAGAGTAAGAAGTGGATAGAGGCTGGATATATTCTAAGGAAAGAGTAGAGATGAGGATGCCTTGGAAGTGGCATTGAGGGCAGCATCTTTGTGAGGATTAGATCAGGGATGTGGGAGCTGTTTTCCTGCCTGATGCTGGAGAACCTGATGACACCTCTGTGTGTGTTAGCAAAGGTGTCTCTTCCTTTCAGCAGACACATCCCTGTACCAGGGCACAGCACCCAGTTGCCCTATTGTCACAGAGCTCCCGTTCAGAGCTACAGCCTTGGGATTAAGAGGAGCAAAGACAAAGATAACTCCAAGGTTAGGGGCCTGAGCAACCAGAACCATAGAGTTGCCATTTACTGAGATGGGAAAGGCTGCAGATGGGGCAAGTTTCAGGAGGGAAATTAAGAATTCACTTTGAGGGGCCGGCCCGGTGGCGCACTGCTACAGTGCGCCGCTTGGTAGTGCGGCGGCGCTCCCGCCGAGGGTTCGGATCCCATGTGGAGACTGGTTCCCGCTCACTGGCTGAGCGAGGTGCGGGCGCAACACCGAGGGTTGCGATCCCGTTGCTGGTCCCGGTCTGGTACGGGCGCGACACTGAGGGTTGCGATCCGTTGCCGGACACGAAAAAAGACAAAAAGGAAAAAAAAAAAAAAAAAGAATTCACTTTGAGATGCCACTTTGAGACATTCAAGTGTAAATTCACTTTGAGACAGTTCAATAGGCAGTTGGATATACAAATCTAGAAGTAAAGGGAGAAGTTGGGATTCATCAGCATATGAGTTATTATACTATGTGTTGTTTATAATATATATGTTTAATATGTAACATAATAACTATTCACAAAAATAATGCAATGAGAAAGGTTTTAAAAATTTATCTATCCGTATGCTTAGTTTTTTTTTTTAAAAAAAAGATGACCGGTAAGGGGATCTTAACCCTTGACTTGGTGTTGTCAGCACCACACTCTCCCGAGTGAGCCACGGGGCCGGCCCGTATGCTTAGTTTCTATGCATCCTTTCAAATCTAGTTTGTGTTATTATTGTTAACATATACTCAGGAAAAAGCATTCAAACCATTTTTATGATAAGGTAAAGTAAATCCATATGCTATTACTGTAGGGGCCAAGGGAATGCTTCCCCTCTGCCCTCTAAAGATTCGCTGAGAATGAACTGACAATAGGCAGATTAATAGGAGAAAAGGCATACAGATTTATTTAATGTGCATAAGCACAAGGGAATCGCAGGAGAATGATTACCCAGTAACCCGATGCAGTTCACATGCTTATATACCCTTCTTCATGGGGAAGGGGAGATGGGAGAAATGTGGCAATTTGAAGGGGTAGTAAATGATTTTTAGGGGCAATGAATGGACCTGCGGGGCAGACATTATCTTGTGAATGGTTCTCTTTGGAAATCAAAAAGGACTGGAGAAAAACAATGACTTGGGACAAACTTCTTCTGGGCTCCAGGTGTGGCATTTAATTTCCAGTCTCTTCCTCTGTGATATCAGTTTTAATCTTCTCTGGTAAGTGAAATTTCAGAGAAAGGATTGAAGGCAATTGTGTTCTTCTTTGGAGGTCTAGTTTCTAGGTAGATAAGGGAACTACAGAAGACTGGGAGACTGGAGGTGCTGGGGTGGAGGAGAGGTTAGGCGACCTTGAAGCTGTTTCTTTAGTTCAGCGTGTCATAGCGCCATATTTCAGTATATCATTTTCTGAGCCCCATCATTACCTCCCGGTACTAGAGGTAACCGCTATTAATAGTTTCTTTTGTGTCCTTCTAAAATTTTTCTATGTATATAGAAGTATATACATATAGATATGTATATATGGATATATTTGCTTTTTATATAAGTGAGGTCATGCTATAGGTACTGTCTGCAACTTAGTTTCTTTTCAAAATAATTTTGATTGATTTTGTTAAATAACTCTAATTTAACAAACATAACTCCAATTTATACTCCCACCAACAGTATAAGATTTCTTTTTGCACAGTGTCTTAACCATTACTAGGCGTGACCAAACTTTTTAATTATTGCCAATCTGGGAGTTGAAAATTAGTACTTTAAAATTTTACATATTTTTTTCACGTTTATTGGCCTGTCTCTTTTCTATAAACTACCTTTTCATGACTTTTGCTATTTTCCTAGTTTTTAAAATGATTTCAAAGAGCTCTTTGTATATTAAGGAAATTAGTCCTTTGTCCATGCTAAGCCTTTTTCTAATAAGATGAGCCTTGAGTAATAGCTGCAGTAGAAAAATTAAAAGTGCGGGTGACATAAGAGGGGACTTTGGCTGCTGAAGACTGCGGACAAGTTTTCCTCTTTCTTTTTTTTACCTCCCTCCCCCACCCATTTTCCTCCAGATAACCTCACCCCCTTTCTTTTTTATTTTCAGTATTCTTTGCCTCTGTGCGTGTATATATATATATATGCATTTTTTTACCTTATAGAACTAGTAAAAATTATCATGCAGTCTTTTAGTTTTGGTTTTTAGTAGTATGAATCCTCTTAATCTTGACACAGCTTAAACCCTTGTAATAGGTCTGAACTTGGTGCTGGTACATGGATTATATTTCCGTAATTGTTTCTATGTTCTCATTATAACCAATGGAAGAAATAAAGAGGAAGCATCAGCTATATACAAAATATAAAGCCTTCGCAATGTTATCTCTTTTAATCTCCACAGCAATTTAGGGAGCAGCTTTTATTGTTCTCATTTTATAGATGAGAAAACAAACTCTAAGTGAAATTAAGAAACTCACAAGGTCACGTAGTTAGAAATTAATGAAGTGTTGGACTGTAATGGAAGGTTTATATGCCCCTGTTGAATTCCAAAGTCCACAATATTTTTAGTAATTTTTTTCTCCAGGTTTGCTAACAGAAAAGAATCCTGAAAAAAAATTCTGATTCTGTCTATATGCTTAGGATGCAACTGACAGATATAAGAATATATCAATTCATTCAGTTATTAGTCTGTATTAGATTATTAGATCAATAGATATAAATGTAAGAATACATTAATGCATTTAATATTTGGAGCAAATTATTTGACAAAAGAGAAAACATATGAAGAAGTTCATATGTAACTGTGAGGTTTATGCATTATAGTTTTTCAATCTAAATTTCCAGTTTGCCTGTGTTTCTATAATTATCCCAAGCATTTTTCTGATGTGCTCTTTGGAGTGGTCTCTGTCTGTGACCTTGGAATCTCAGCTCCTCGTGTGGATTGCTGTGGGATTTGAGGTGGGCAGTCATGGGAGTCACTGGTTTCTTCTTTCTAGGCTTATAATGGGCATCATCAAGCCTTGGAAGTCCTTTTGCAGTCGCTGGTGGACCTGGACATCAGGGATGAGAAAGGCCGCACTCCTCTGGATCTGGCTGCCTTTAAGGGACACACAGAATGTGTGGAAGCACTGATCAATCAGGGCGCGTCCATCTTTGTGAAAGACAATGTAACCAAAAGAACCCCACTTCATGCCTCAGGTAGGTCTTTTCAAGGGTCTGTCACCCTAGTTTTGTGGCCTTTTCCTAAGTTCGAGTAAAAGCACGGCAGCATCTTCTTTCATCCCAGTTTTTAAAATATCAGTTTTCTGTCTGCATCAGATATACCTACACGCTTCCAAAATGCTTTTGGCCTGCTGTCCCCTTGGAGATGATTGGTGTTCTCTGGCCAGACAGCCTCTGGCCTTCTTAACTCAAAAAAGAGTTCAAAACTGCTGGCCAAAGGCTACTGCAAACTTTCTGAACAAAGGGCAAGGTGTAATGCAATCTTCAGAATAAGTTATACAGAACAAACCACATCAAAATCACACAGCATTTTAAAGCATAAAATTAATGATATTTCAGGGCTACTTCATGGGGGTCATCAGACTGCAATCTAATCAGTACATCATTCTTCCAGCCTAAATTATGCTTCTTAGCTTTGATTCTTGATGCATCAGAAGTAAAAATAGAGATTCTTAGAAAGTACATGTATATATCAAAAAGTAAGTAATTTTCCTTTTCTGGGATTTTTCTCCAATGCTCATGAAAACTGTGTCAAGACTCTTCTAGATTTATACACAGATGTAAAGGCAATATAGATAGTCCGCAGCTCAGCTAAGGAATAAATACCTTTGGGCTCAGCAAATCCAATGATATCAGCCTTTGATCAGGGTAGTAGATATTGTCTTATAAAGAGAAATAACTGTCTTACGTGGTTAAATAATGGGTGTATTGAGGAAGGAAAGAAGTGAAGATAGGTTTTCAAGAGACTTTATGATTCTTGTTACTTGGGAAATTTTTCTCAGAATGATAAACTGTGTAGAAATATTTCCATCCACATCCCTGAACTTCCAAGCCACTAGAGAAAAACGATACAGAGATTTTAAAAACTTGGTTCTTACCCAATTACTTGCAAATGGTTGTTGTAGGAAAACACTTTAGCTGTGAGGTCAGTGATGATCGGTGTGGTTGAATTATAAATTTTTATTTCCCGTCACATGTAGTCCCTTTGCTCTTTACGCATATTTGGTATTATTATAAATTTCAAATTTTGTTCTCCTTTTTAAAAATTAGTTGCCTACTATTAAGGCAAGCATCCTACTTTAGCAATCATGTAATTCTTGACCATTACAAAGAGCCTATTTTGATTGTGGAAAATCGCCTTTGTAAACAGGTAAACAATGGAGATCATTGTTGCTCATGTGCCACTGCTATAGGTTATGGGCCAATGGAGCCCCCTAGTGGTCAAGGGCTCACTCTGTTTGGATTTCCCCTGTGTCATTCATTAAAAAGACACAGGCTGTCATTTGATGGCTCTCCACAAAATGTCTGCTGTGCAGAAGCTTCGGCCTGTGCTTTGAGGATGTGCTTACCCAGAATCTTTTTCAGCTCACTTGAGAGGCCTTTTTTTTTTTCTTTTTTTTTGCTTCAAATCCTCAGAGTACTTTGAGGAGCAGGAGCCAGGATGAGTATTAGAGCTTTTGGCACAGGTAGTTTCAGTGACAGTTGTCTTGGAGCAGCATGAAAAATGGCTGTCACTTGTAGCCAGGGGGAGGCTGAGCTAGTCTGAGAGAAAACTGGACTTGGCAGGCACAGCTGAAGATTTAGCATCTTTTTGCTAGAAGGCGAGTGAGAAAAAAAATGTCATGTGTGGGAATCCCATGAGAATTTAGGTTTGGCTACACTTTTACTCTAAGGGGGATTTAAATTAACCTGAGAGCTGTTAGCTAAGTTCATAAGGCTACAGCTAAAAAAAGAAAAGAAAAGAAAAAAAGCACACTGTAGAAATTGTCTTTGTTTTGCTGTCTAACACACTAGGTGAGTGATATGAACTTAGATGATTTTTTTCTCCTTATGTTTAGCCAAAAATCAAATATTCTTGGAACTATTATGATTGACTATTTAAAGAATATCACATTGATACAGAAAGAGGAACAAGTCAAAATATGCTGTTCCTTCACTTTCATGAATCCATCACCTGTCAATTCCTTGCTAATCATTTTCTTGTAGACATACATTAAACTCCTTGCATATTTCACGAGTGTTAGCAGATTTAGTATAATTTTAGAAACAAAAAATCAAAATGACAACCTCAACAATATATTACTTGTACTCCAACACACAAAACTTCCTCCCGAGATACATAAATGGAATGTTACTGAGAATGAGCTGAATGCACTGGTCTACAAATTTGGGCATTATTCCTATAGTTCATTTGAGTGGTGTTGATGAACGTGAGCTAATTCTAATGTGTATTGTCCCTGAGAAATGTGTCCTTGTTGAATTAACATTCTCTCAACACTGGCAAGCAATAAAAAGGACGGTAAAAGGAACTCAGCTCTTAGAAGAGCCTTTATTAACCTGACATAGCTGCACCTATTCCCTTCTCTCTCCACATCCATAAGGTGGTAAATGCAATGTGCTGTACAGTGTTCTGCTTGTTCAGAGGGGAGAGAAGGTCACACTGGGAACTTTAACCATATTTGTTCTCATCTTATTCCGAGTTGAAAGCTCTGTCGCTTGTAAGGCTTTGGTTTCCGTTCAGCCAGCTGGAGGGAAGCACCTCACCCCAGGGGATTATATCACTGCAGGTTTGCTCCCCTTCTAAAAGAAGCCAGGGGTGTGAGAGCGTGTCCCCTGTTCCTCCAGGCCGGCACAATGTTGGGACAGCATCTCCTGCTCTCTGCCCAGCCCCAGTTTGTCTGCTGGGTGAGGAGGGGAAGGATGAGGGCCCGACAGCTGCCCAGGAGGGGGCTCAGAGGGGAAGAAGGGAAGGGAGGCAGGAGAGCTGCTGCAGCGTGCTTGGGACACTGGGAGGCAGTGGTTTGAGGAATCCGCGACAGAGGTATCCCCAGCTGCATGGGGCCACCCGCGAGTCTCCCGAGAGTGCCGATCAATCCTCAATGAGTAGTGAACGGGTGGATCGTGTACACCTCTCTGGCCTGAGGTTTCGCTGTTGGCCACCGCTAATCAATCAGAGCTGTTGCTGGAATGTCCGCCTGGGAATGTAAAGTGACCCAGAAGAAGAGGCAGGCCCTGTTCACTGCTCTGTTCTCCTCTCCTCCCCCCCACCCTATTCCTGCTCCCCTCTTCTCCCTCCTCCCCCTTCTCCTCCTCCTTTTTCCTTCCTTTTAGAAAGAGCTGAAGGCAGGGTAGACAGAGGATGATTATACAGAATTGGGTGACTCTTAGAGGGACAAAAAAAGGGAACTGAATAGTGGGGAGAGATTATCAACCCCATGCAAGGAGTTAAGAAAGGACATCCAGTTTAATAAAAACTCCCTCAACTCGAGGATCGGAAAAGGAAGGTGAGGGGGCGGGCTAGTGAGCTCAGCTGGTTAGAGTGCAGTGTTATAACACCAAGGTCAAGGGTTCAGATCCCTCTACCGACCAGCCACCTAAAAAAAAAGAAAGAAAAAAGAAAAAGAAAAGGAAGGTGAGGACCAAAGTGCCCTGATAGGAAGAAAAGAAAGGAAAAGACAGATTAACATTGGAGCACTCTATGCATGGAGGTGATCGTGAACTGGAAACCCAGGGATATCTGTCAGCAGCCATTTAAAACCACTGATGTGAAGTCCAAATAAATTTCACTTTGTGTGAATGGATATGTGTAGTGTTGGTCTTTTTAAAGCACGTTCATTATTTTCTTTTTCAGTAATTAATGGTCACACACTGTGTTTGCGGCTGTTACTAGAAGTTGCAGACAACCCAGAAGTGGTTGACGTGAAAGATGCCAAAGGACAGTAAGTGTTCTCACAGTTGGCCTTGGGTTGACATTTCTCTCACAATAGGTAGTTGGTTGGTTTGTTCGACAGCTGGATTGCAGGTTGTGGGTATATACTTGGGTGAAATTCATGGGTGAGGGCCCTAGAATAATGAGGTGGCTTTGTGCTAGAGTTTATATTCAAGAAAAGCATACAGGGGCTGGTGTGTGCCTATCTTGAGGAAAAAGATCACCTTTTTATGGCTGTGGCTGTTTCCTGGCTCTTTTTTATATTCCTTGCTTTGTTCCCTGTCTACCCAGTTTTACCCTTTTCTGAAGCTGCTGCATTCCCATTTTCAAATTAATAATGACAATAGGCCACAAGAGGTTATCTCCATCATTAAAATCCTTCAGATTTTTATCCTTACTCCAGTTTGCTCTTTCAAAGTATTTTCCTTCTGTTGTTCTATTCCCCACCCAATCTCTGTTACAAATAGGAAATGCAGAGCAAAAAAGCACTAGTGACTAGCCCCAGGAGTATGAGTTCGTGTCATAGTCAAAACTAGACCCTCATCTTCTGGACCCAACACTCTATTCTTTCCCCTAGACTTGGCAGACTTTTCTTTAAGGCGATGAAGCTTTATTCAAATGGAATCTTGACCAGAAGTCCAACACAGAATACTGTAGAGGTAGAGCTGCTCTGATAAGGGCCAGATGGTCTTCTACATACACACACTCCTTACCCCATTGATATTTAGTAAATGCTACATAGTTCTGAAATGATGGGATTAACGTGAATATTTTGAGAAAGAACCTTTCCCTGCCTCACACCTGTGCATCATTCCACTGACACCATTCCATGTGGCCATTACAGCAGAGGCAGAGAGCTTGTCCACATAGCATGTAGCAAATTGGGGACACTCAGAAAATAGAAACAACTGTTAACAGTAAAGAGAAAGAGAGAGAGATGTCTTCCCCCTGGAAGTGATGAGTTTTTTTTTTTTAATCTCCTTTTTAAAAGCCTAATCTATCTCTCTCCCTAGAACCCCACTGATGCTTGCTGTAGCATATGGACATATTGATGCTGTTTCATTGTTACTTGAAAAGGAAGCAAACGTAGATGCTGTTGACATCATGGGATGCACAGCTTTACACAGAGGGGTATGTACATCTTTCTCAGCTTTTAGTCAAGCAATTTTTTAATGAGCTTGTTTTCTCTTTTTTCCCTATATGAATTTTTAGTAAAAAAGGTTGTTTCCTGATATAACCAATTAACCTCAGTCAGTCAAAAAGAAATTACAACATATTTTGCAAAGGCAAAATAATAAAATGTACTCTTAGGTCCTACTCTTAAGATTTCATGTAACATTATGATAATAATTACGTGAACACCTACTGTTGGTGGAATTGATTCTGCTCTCTGATCATAAAATACATGTACATCATAGAAAATTTGCAAAATTCTTTTTTATGTAACACAGAGAAGAAAATCACAATCACCAGTAATCATACCTCCTGGAAATAACCACTTTTTGGTGTGTGTGTGTGTGTGTGTGTGTGTGTGTGTGTGTGTGTGTGTGTGTGTGTGTGTCTCCAGTCTTTTTTTTCCTGTATAAATTTGTTTTAAGTTTTAAAAAGAAGGAATACTGAAGATACTATTTAAAGTCTGCTTTTTTCTCTCAGAATATCAAAGACCTATTATCCATGTCACTAAGTATTTTTCTGCACCACCATTTTTAATGCTCCCATGTGTGTAGTGTCATAATTTTTTTCAATGATGCCTGGTTTTCAGTTGTTGTGCTGTATCTAATTGTTCTTTATTACAAATTATGCTGAAATATGAGTATGTATCCTGTGGACAATTCTTTGTACACATCTGCTGAACTGTTTTTTAAAGCATATCAAATAAACAAAGTGAACAAAAGCAGAAATCATAAAATTGCTATTTGGGAATGGTGCCAAACCTCCTGCTAAATTAAAATAAGAGGAACTCTACTTAGTCATTGTCATAATCATAGTTCTTATTTCCTGGGCACTTCTGTGGACTGTTCAACAGGCTGGGAGCCTTTACATATATTATCTCATTAGTCCTCACAGCAACCTGTGAGATCGTTATTAGTATTCCTATTTACCGGTGAATAAAGTAAGTCACAGAGAGGCAAATTGACCTAAGTTTTACAAGGGGAGCCAGGATTTAACTCATATCTTCCTGATTCTAAATCTGAGTTTTCCACTCTATCATGGTGCCTTTCACGGTTATGTTGGAAAGTCAAGAGATGTTTCCAAAATGCTGGTTTTCACTGATGTTTCTGTTTTGAATTTTGCTGAGGTTGTCCTTCCTCTCATTGCTGAAGGAGGGCAGAGTCTGCTTTCTTTAAAGCCCCCAGTGTATGTCCAGTTACTCTGAGCCCAGCCTCACTGAGCCAACTGCTTTACTTCCTGAGTCTTCTGCCCTTCTGAGGTTTGTTTTGTGTTTTTAATTGCAATGCACCAGATTATGACAGGACACGAGGAATGTGTGCAAATGCTCCTGGAACAAGAAGTGTCAATTCTCTGTAAAGATTCCAGAGGGAGGACGCCCTTGCACTATGCAGCTGCCCGGGGCCATGCCACGTGGCTGAGTGAGCTGCTCCAGATAGCTCTTTCCGAGGAGGACTGTTGCTTCAAAGACAACCAAGGCTACACACCGCTGCACTGGGCTTGTTACAATGGTGAGTTGCTTGTCATTTGACTGATTCCACCAGACTTCCTACCGCAGCACCACTGTGATCTTAACAGAGGTGAGAATATAGCATAATGCTGTAAACCATGGTTTCCAATATTTCTGCACCCAAGATAACTTTTTGGTTTGTTTTTGTTTATTTCTTTGTTTTTTTAAAATAGACCTCCTGCCCATGGCTGTCATGACTCCTTAATTGAGTAAAAGTCCTCTTTTCCCCTTTTTATTAATCAGTAAAATATAACTCCTAATCAGAACTTCCTGTGAACTTAAATAACTAGTTTTAATCAAGGTTTCTGATGTATATAAGATAACCAGAGATTCTACAAGGAATTAAAATAACATAGCTAAACATTTTTTTTAATGATGTAATAATATGTCCATTGATTACTCGTAATTGCGTGACTCATTTTTTGGCATTTCTTTTTTATGTTTTATATTCCCCATTTAATTTGTTGCACTTTTTATTTGAGTGATTTTAAATTTTTCATTTTACTTATTTGAATAGAAAAGAAATGAATGCTAATTGTACCAATTCAAAAATACTGAAATGTCTAAAGTAAAATTAAGTTTTCATTTCCAAATCCACTTTTGATGTAATTTGGTATGTATTTTTCATTTTTTCTTTGAGAACATAAATAAGTTCAAATGATGGGGCCGGCCCGGTGGCGCACTGGATAGTGCGCCGCTTGGGAAGCGCGGTGGCGCTCCTGCTCGAGGGTTCGGATCCCACATACAGACCGGTTCCCGCTCACTGGCTGAGCGAGGCATGGGGGCGACGCTGAGGGTTGCAATCCCGTTGCCGGTCCCCGGCCCGGTGCGGGGGCAACACTGAGGGTTGC